CATGAATATTTAATTGATATTTTACAATTTCATTTTCATTTTATTTAATAAATGAAATATAAATAATAAATGAATGAATAATAATTTAATATATGAAATAATAAAAAGAAAAGAAAGATAAATAATAAAGAAATATGATGTATTTAATATATAATATAATTTATTATCAAATATAATAATATCAAATGATGAATTATTTTTATTTCAAAATATTTTGCATCAATAAAATATGTTGCTAAATATTTTGCATCATTAAATTTTGCATCATTAAATTTTGCACTTTTTTTATTTGTTTCAATAAAATTTGCATCCTTTATTTTTTTCATTCTTTTCTTCTTTTAATATCTCTTTTGTTTTATTACACTTTATCTTCTTTCTTTTTATATTCTCTTCTTTCTACTTTTATTCTTTCTTCATCTTCATCTACTTTTTACTTTCTTTTTATTCTTTTATATCATTCATTCTCTTCTTTTTCAATTATTTGCTTTTTTTCGTTGCCTATTGAAACAGGTAGAGAGTTAAACCAAATAAAAATCAAATGTAGAGTAAAAGAAGAAGTAATAAAATAAAAATTAAAAATAATACAAAGAAATAATAATAAATTACTAATTTAATAAGAATGATATAAAGAAGAAAAAATATATAGAAATATAAGATAATACAATTTAATGAAGTATATTGAATAAAAGATAAAAAGAAGAAAATAGTCATTTAACATCGAGAGAAATAATATACAATATAAGTTATTAATTAAAATATTTTACAAAAAAATGTATTTAAAGAATGAATGGTAAAAGTAGAGAACAATGATAAAGAATGAATAGAAAGAAGAATAAAAAGTGCTAAATAAAAATGAATAAATAATTTAAATATAATAAAGAAAATACAGTAAGATAAAGTGATATAATAAATATCATAAGTTAAGAAATAAATATAACAACCATTAAGTCTAATAAACAAAGATTATGTTATTTAATTAATATAGAATAAAACAAAGAAGTTGATATAGAATGATAAGAATAAACAAATAGATAACATCATTAACAAAACAGAAAAAATAAAAGGAATAGAAAAGAAATAAAAATAAACAGAATAATTGTTAATAAAGAGTAAAAATATTATAAAGTCTATAAAAGAAATAAATTTAAATCAGAAAGATAAATCAAATATAAACATGAAAAGTGATAAAAGAAGAAAAGTGAAGTTATTTATAAAAATAAAAAAAACACATGACGTTATGAATGAATCTAATAAAATAAAAAATAAGAAGAATAAGAAGAATAGAATAATTAACTTTTAAAAATGAAAATAAAGTTAAGTAAATAATATAGAAAGAAAAAAAGAAGTTAGAACCAATGGAAAATCAATTATATCAAAAGAAATGAATGAAATTTAATAACTTAAAATCAATTAATAGAAAAGAAATTACAAAGAAATGAAGAAATAATGTGAAAGAATAATTAACACTAAATAAATAAAATAGAAATAAAATGAGAGAAGAATATGAAAAATGAAGAGAAATATTTTATATATTAAATGAAGGAACAAATATTTAATTAACATTCATTAGAAATTAATTTAATTAATGATATTTCATTTTAGATTCATTTCTTCATTGTATTGAAAACTTCAGAATATGATTTTATTGTTTTCTTTGTTATTCTTTGTATTGTTCCATTAATTTATTTATATGTTTTATTGTGATTTATATCATTAAAACTATCATCATTTTATGAATTTATTCATTTATGGTTTATCTCTTTTGATTTATTTTATTTTAAACTTATTCAACTTAAATTTTCTTCATTTAAGTCAGTACACTATAAAAATAGTAATAAACATCATCATTATATTTTCAATAACATTTAATGTAAGAAGAGTATTTAATATTATCATTTTATAACTCATTTCTTCTATGTTTAACATCACAAATATTCACCCACATTAGTTTTTATAATCATTTCTATATGTTTTATCAATGCTATTCTTTATTTAACACTATCATCAATTTTATAAATAATACTTAAAATAAACAATATTATTTAATAATAGTAAATCTTAATATTTAATTCAATTGATTAACTACATTAATCTTATAAATTAAACATGGTATTATTTTTACTAAATGAAAAACATAACCAGATGATATTAATAACATTAGAAATTTAATTTCATTTTAGGGTTTTGTGTGATATTTCTAATATACCATTTTTTTCCAATCCAGAAAGCAGTTAAATTAACTGATAAATATGAAAATAGAATAAAAAGAATGAAAACACCATGAAAAGAATTAAAATAACAAATACACACTTCATTAATACTTCTGTCATTACTAAAACAAATAATAATTCTAACAAACAAACATAATCAAAAGAAACTAAAATATAAATCAAAATATATTCATTATAATATAGTTTATAGTTATGTATTAATTCATTATTGTTATTTATCATCTTTTTATTCTTTTATTTTTATTCTAAGTATTATTATAGATATTTTGAATATATTTATTCTATTTTAATTTATTTATTGTT